AGAGAGAGAGAGAGAGAGAGAAAGGGGGGGGGGGTAATTTTGTACCTGATACAGGGTCAAAATAACGTCTTCACAATATCACGATAGCCCACATCGTTTTTCCACATTCTTATGCGTCTTTATACATGTTTAATGTTGCGTTGAATTAGCCGTTTCTATGATTGTACATGATTGTCCATAGTGTTTGTGTGGAAAAAGATGGAGTGAAAAACGCATACAAACACTTTGGACTGCGCTTGTATGCATTTTCATTGTCATCTATGGGAGTGGGCTGCGCAGAGAAATATGTGCAGCAGAAAAGAAAGTAAACCTCTCACATATTAAGACAGAAGTCTGTAAAATTACATTGTAATACAATGCTTTGGTCATTATCAAATTTCAATTTACTCACACTGTACTTTAATAATGTACTATGTGCAAGTTGTTAAACAGTGCGAAGTGAAACTGTTGTTCTCTAGACAACAGTTATATAATCTAGTGGGATATATCATGCATCTCTATATGCACACATGACAAGACTCGTACAACCTTCAAAATTCAAACCGTTTTTACATCGTACGTAAACCGTGTCATTTTAATCTCTTTGGTCAATAAAGCAATACTGAACTTAGACTTTGACAGTAGCGCCATCGTCTGGCCGTACCATTTTTTATATTATACAATATGTGAAGTAGGAGAGAAGGGTAAAACATTCTATTTTAAATCATTAGTGGAGCACAGTGTTAGTAACGTCCTTAACCAAAACTGATCTACAACAATGTCTAGTTCTGCAAATGAATAATAAATAGATCGTTATAATCGATAAAAACGTTAACACGATGTTACGAAACACACGAACTCTGAAATGTAAAGTTAGGGTTTGACGCAAATACTATGAGACGGTGACTTAATATGACGTCACGCGAGTTCGCCTGCAGTATTGCTTTCCCAATCAGGAAGGGGTGTGTGCAGTGGCTTGTCTGTGTCATCGTCTTTTCTGATCTGTTATATCTAGAAAAGAAAGTGCTCAGAAGGTAAGTGGTGAAATATTAGTGTTTGTCACGTTTTTTGTTAGGTATAGTTACAAAGTTATAAATTATTTTACGAGTAGCAAATTCGCTCAAACACTTCCGACTAAACAGAGTTAAAGTTGTCCGACGAGCCAGGTAGTTCGCAGGATGTAAGGCGGCCCCAAAGTAATAGTAGGTTAAGCTGCATATAAAAATTTAACACTACTGACGGGTTGTTGAAGGGACAATTGATTGAAAATGGAAATGGGCAGTCCACAAATTCTCACCTCACTGCCTAGCAAAGTTGGAATAAGACCATTAGATGTGAAACAAATAAATGATGAATAATGTACATGAATGAACATATGTGAACTCTAGCCATCAAAGAGGCCTTTATGTAAAAGTTTTTGCATTTGCCTACATAAATTAGACATTTGCAAATTTGTGGTGTCCCCTTCTAGTTTGCCTGTTCACACTGAGCTACATGTGTGTTTTAAAAGGAATAACTAGCACGTGGTGTGTGTGGTTTGGTTAGGGTATGTTTCTTTGCTAAATTTTGAAGCCGGTGGCTGCGTTCACATGATCTAGATGTCTTGTAGTAATTTGGAAACGATTTTTTAGTTTTCAGCTTAACTTTCAGAAGGATGACTCTGCAGTGGACGGCGGTGGCCACCTTCCTCTACGTGGAAATTGGTGTCCTGCTCATCCTCTGTCTGCCTTTCATATCAGCCAAGAGGTACCACAGTGTCTGCATATCTCTTTAAATGTGATGCAGAGACGTATGAAGATCAGAGTGTTGTAATGATAGAAAACCTCTTTGTCCTTGTGCGTCTGAGGTAACTGTCGCACACACCTTTGATCATTTTTATCAGAACAGTTTGCTTGAATAATGTTTTATTCTAAGTGTATGACATGAAATGAAATTATAGGCAAAATAAGAGCAAATCGTTGAACGCATTCTAATTTAATCAATAGCAGAGGTAGCAAAGGTTGGTTTTCCTGTGCCTTTGCTCCCTTAGGTGGCAGTCTGTATTCAGGTTCCGTGTATGGAATGCGTTTTCCTGTGCCTTTGCTCCCTTAGGTGGCAGTCTGTGTTCAGGTTCCGTGTATGGAATGCGTTGGCTTCATTTTGGAACAAAGCCTTCCTCACCATGATAATAATCCTAATTGTCCTGTTCCTTGGTAAGTTTGAATGAAATCTATAACCAGCACACAGATCACACCAAAGCTCTAAGGAACAAACACCTTGCCTGAGGAATGTCTGACGTATTTTGTCGCATTTGTTTTTTGCTGACTTACCTTGTTAACGTTATGGTCTCACTGTAGAGGCGATATTTGTTGCCTTGACTCCGCTGCCTCTGGCTTCCCCCACAGACGCTGTCCGGGAGGTCAGGAAGTACTCGGGGGAGCAGCTCAACCAGAATTCCAAGCTGCAACCCAATATGTTCGACCACCTGCACATGAAGCTGTTCCGTTCCCAGAGGAACCTCTACATCTCTGGCTTTTCTCTCTTTCTGTGGCTGTAAGTCTGTCGCGTTCTCTACTTGTGTAGTTAATGAATGGGAGTACAGTTTCCAGACCCATCATAGATCAGCATATTGTGTGCTGGTCATTCACCGATTGGTTTAACTGTCTTTACTTTAGATTCCTATTGGCTTGACCTAGATGATGATTATAGGGCACTAACAGTACCATCCAAAGTTGTTTCAAAACCTCAGTGCTTCTCTCATGGCATACGAGTATATTTTTTGTTTCTTTATATGTTTCTTTAAAACTTAAATGGATTCCTCATAGTTGAATGAAATTTTCATTTAATGCTGTGTGCCGACAAGTCCATCACCTAATCTCATTTTGTGTGCTCTGCTGCCCCCTACTGGCTGATGAATGTAATGCATCAAGTGAGTGTCAAATTCCCTGCTGTGTGTCTGATGGCAGTGTCATGAGGCGTGTCATAATGCTGATAAACCAGTTAGCGTCTGTCACGGAGACTGGAGTGGCCCTGCAGACCCAGGCGGAGAATGCCAACCAGGTGGCCAAGAAGTACATGGAGGACTGCGAGGAACTCAAAAAGGTGAGCTTCTTAAACTGACAGTGGGTGGGATTGCTGTGCTGGCTGTCATCCAGAGATTTATCTTACTTTCTATCGGCTGTTTTATTGGTTGCAAGCGCAGTCCAAAGTGTTTGTATGCGTTTTTCACTCCATCTTTTTCCCCACAAACACTATGGACCATCATGTACAATCATAGAAACGGCTAATACAACGCAACATTAAACATGAATAAAGACGCATAAGAATGTGGAAAAACGCAAGATGAAAACGCAGAAAAACACATGTGAGGAAAAAAAACAGTACAACGCGTTGAGCTTTTCATTGCATTTTTGGCTTCTATGATGTGAGCATACTCTTAATACATTTTTTGCTTGTGTCTCCATATTTCTGCATCGGAAAATTCGCTAACCAATATACTTTCATTTAATATCGCAAGTGCCGGCGGTGAAACTTAGCAGGATAACGTTGTGCCGTTGTTTATTCTGTGGAAAACGAAAGCTCGATCTGCAGGCCAAATTTAATAAGAATTATCAACATGGCATGGGTCATATAAGTAAAATATACATAGCTGTGTCCCGTTTTGATCGTGATCGATCCCTTAATAATTAACAAATAACTAACAAAACTGTTTTGGTATGGCGGTGTGGTTTCATCTGAAATTATGTTTGAAGTTTAACCTACGAACCTTCTGCGTCTTCCATGCTGATTTTTATTACTAACCCAGATGCATTGTGAATTTGTTTACGTTTAGTCAGAATCCATCGTGGTGGACGCTGAACCTAAATTAATCCTATTTTAATCATAGTTTTAAATGGTTTAACTAATCCAGGGATAAAAGTAAGACCTACAACACATCTATGATTAATTAAACCTATATTTACTAACCTTAGATTAAGTGTAAACCAGGAACCCAGCCTATGAGTCTTTCGTAATTTAATTAACAGCTGAACATTTCTGTAGGACCAAAGTTCTTTTTTTTTTGTTGCAACCATCCCTGATTCTTCACCCAGTACCTCCAGGATTTAGCAATTCTGCTACTGCAGAAATGAACACAGAATCATGTAGAATTAGCTCTGTAGAGTACAGATAAATACATTCTGCATAAAAAAACTATGGGCACTTTAGAAATTAGATGCATTTTTCTTTCAATGTATTTGACTGCCAGTGGCTGGAATAACTCATGGCCAAACTTCTGTGGATGTTGACCAGCTTTTGATAATACAGACACAAAGCCTGGGAAAAATACAGTGACCAGGCAAGAGCTGGCAGAAGAGCAGGCGCACTGCGCTGTGCATAACGCCACACCACACCTGTAACGTAAGCAACCTAATAGATCACTGGCTCTGATTTTATTTGCAGTTAATGTTGAATTGACAGTTTATTTTGAAACAAATTCTGAATTTGGTACTTTGCCAATATATGAAAATTCTCCTCAAAACAATCACACACAGAACTTCACAATTTGCATCGTACATTTCGAGAAAAGCAACGTCTTTGCAGTGTATAAAACAAAAAAGCGCTAAAAAGGACATTAACTTTTTTGTTTAATGTTTCGATACTTTGTTTAAAAACAGAAGTGGTCATACGCAGGCCCAACATGAAGTCAGGTCAAGGAAGTAGCACTTTTCATGATGATGTTGCTGATGCTGAGTTTTGAACACATTTTAGACAACGTTTTTTCCAGTTGTTTGCTTAAGGTAGTCGTCAAAATGCTCACGGCACTCTCTCTGTCTTCATTATGTTTTATGCTTTGTTATTTGATATTGGCTTCGAGCTTTAATCTCTACATAAGGTGCCGTTTCTCTTACACTTTAGCCACTCAGTCAGGCAATGGCTGCATTCATGCCAACATCTGTTTAAGTGAAAAATAGTTTTTCTTTAAACATAGTATTTTTAAGCATTTTATCTTAACTGATATTGTGCTGTAGTTCTTACACCATTAACCTTTATTAGTTATTGCAGTTCCAAAGGAGAGAAAGCCCTTGGAAAACATATTAAGCAGAGACTGGAAACTTAACTCGGGCTCTAATTCAAAGACTTGAGGCATTACTCTGACTTCTCCCTCAGAGGCTTCAGATTTGAGTCTAAGGCTACGTTCACACTACCAAGCTGAAGTGACTCAAATCCAATTTTTTGCCTGAATGTGACTCAGATCTGTTTTTTTCATGGCTGTGTCGGGACAAATCCAACAAATTCAATCTTTCCAAATCAGATTTGAGTCACATTCATATGTGACATGAACGTGAACGGTCAGATTGGAATTTACATTTACAGCATTTGGCAGACGCCCTTAGCCAGAGCGACTTCCATAAGTGTGGTTCATGTGGTTTTTTTGCCTATACGCATGCACTGACTGTTTTTTGTTGTTGGTGATGCAGATTACGTGTGCGCATGTGAACCGTTTCGGAGGACAGAGGCGTTCATAGTACAGATTCAGGTCAATTGTAACTATGAATGTGAACCGTCAAGATAGGCAAATACGGTCTGAGCAAAAAAAAAAAATCCGAATTGGAGAATGAGGCTTCAGCTTAACTGTGTTAACACCTTAACACATTTTGTAGGTGATCTGGGATGGGGGTGGCATAAGTAAGAAATATAATTATTGACAAGGCGTCTTTTTCCCATTTTGACCTGTGCGTTACTGCTGTGTTCCGCTGCAGGCTGTAGTACCAGCAGCAGCAATGGCTTATGGGACTGAGAGCTGTTCTCCAGTTTGTGTAAGAGCATGCTGGTGAAAAAGGGCCAAATGAATCTGTATCTTCCAATCCTTCAGACGCTGGATGAAGGGAAGACAGGGAGGAAGATGGAGGAGGGGAATGCGGTGCTGAAGAAGGAGGTGGAGAAGCTGACTCAGGAGCTGCGGACCACAGATGAGGGTTTGTCACACTGTGGTCTGAAATCGCCTTGGCTGTGGAGTTCATTTTACAGTCCACTGTAAAAGACTCTGCCTGGGAGTAATGTATGGCTAAGTGGGTTAAGACTCTGGGACTCTGGTCTGAAGGTTGCTAGTTCAGATCCCAGCACCGACAGAGTGATGTCACCGTTGGGCCTCTGAGCCTTTGATCCCCATTCGCTCCAGGGACTGGCTGTACATCTGCTAAAAAAATAAATGGTAGAGAACAGTGTGAGGGATATATATCTCTCTCTCTCCCTCTCTCTCTCCTCTACAGCGCTGAAGAAATCCCAGGCGGAGGTGAAGGCCGTGCGGAGGCAGGCGGAGGGCCTGACGCAGGAGTACGAGAGGCTGCTGCAGGAGCACCATGTGCTGCAGGTAAGCAACGGGCTGCCTGCCTCTGAGCCACCTATGCCCACCTCCAGGTTGCCCACCTACTGGTTGCCCGCCCCCCGGTTGCCCGCCCCCTGGTTGCCCGTTCCCTGGTTGCCCACCCCTGGTTGCCCGCCTCCAGGTCCTCATCCAGGCTGACAGGCAGAAGGACCTGACTGTCTGCATCGGGCACTTACCCCATCCCCCATGGCTGCTCCTAATCAGTCACCACTTTAGTTTACATGATGAGTTAAAGGACCCTTGAGTTTCATGAATGCCCATTTTGCTTATTTTATCATTTTATTAGTTTGCATCAGTCTTAGAACTTTTAAGTGCTTAGAACCGAGACTCTGTAAAAACAGTCCAGCTCTCCTTTTATAAATTAATCAACACTGTCAAACACTGTTATTTTACCCAGAATCTTCATCAAGGAGATGAAGGTGACAAGAAGAGCCAGTAAGTCAAGGAGCTTTGAGGTGGAGCCTTCGGTTCACATGGTGGCGGTTGCCGGCGGATGAGGGTGGATGTCCGTGAGAAGGCCCCTAAAGCAGCGCTCAGGAAACCCCTCAGCATGTTCTCCACGTTTCAGCCCGAGATGCCCAGCGTTGGGCTGCTTCGGAACGGCAAGCGTTCTCCACAACTCTTCCAGTGTGGACTTTAATTATCCACTGGGGAAAAAAAAATCATTCAGCTGGAGAAACGTAAAAAAAGGTTCACTTGCTTTCCACATGTGTTGCTGATTGTTCATTGCCAAAATGGGTTTCCCTCAAATGGGGCACTTTTGAATAATTTTCACTCTTTTATAGCTCCGAAATAAGTGCTGTTTGTTTTGTCTACCTAGTTTCGCTTGATACTGGTTGATTTTTTTTTTGTACATTGATGTTTGACAATGGTACACTCAGTAGCTGTTAGCTCTGTCCTGTGCGGTTTGAGGTCAGATCGGAACAAACCGGAGGATGCCATCGTCTCGATGTCGGGCTTTCACATGGCTGCTGTTGTGGCTCCACTGAGTATTCGCCAATTTTGACACATTTTTGCTGTCAAAGTTGATAGCTTAAGGAATGTTTGATCTAAAAAGGGAACACGGACTGTCAGTAATGTGAAACATCTTGCGGTTTTAATTGCGTGCTTTGAGATGGGCGAGGCCTGATTTTGACGAAATCCTCCATCCATTTGTATTCCGTCACCATATTTTTTGGCTTGTGTTCTTACGCCACTGCACAATCACCTTAAATGCAGCGAAAACGTCACATGAGCAAAGGTTTACTCAATTTTTAATGAAGATACCAACATTCACACGTGTCATACATTAAAATATTTACAAAGTCTTTTCACATGGCTGGTGGATGAGGATATGGGGACATGGCTGTACAGCTTCTCCTCACATTTTTGGAGGTAAACAGGCTTGGTTTTGTCTGTTTTCGGTCTGCATGCATATATGACCTTTTAACCCGGCCAGACATCACTGGCTGAAGCTGTCTGCTGTGTCCACGTCCGTTAGCCCTGAAGCTTCAAGCTCACGTTGATAGGGCTAACCATCCTCACCCCACATTAGCAGCTGGATAACGCAGTAGAATGTTATATGTTTAGTACTTTACAGGTATAACAGGACTACCTCTCCTGGGATTTGAACAAAGAAGCTTCCGATTACCGGCACATCCCCTTCACCTCTGTGCCGCCACCTGCACTAAATTAGCCCTAATAATTCATTTAGCAGTGTGCCTTACAGCAATGCCATATATGTTCATTTTTTTCTTAAATATTTGTTTTTGAATTTAGCTTTTTCTTAATGTAAAATAAAGATAATTTTAAGGCTTTTGTATGTCAATCAGCAATTCCTTTTTTGTGATGCAGGTATTAATATAATCTGTGTGTGTGTGTGTGTGTGTGTGTGTGTGTGTGTGTGTGTGTGTGTAAACACACAGACACGTACCATTGGGTAGAAACATACATACAGGACACAGTCTTAATCATTGAATTCAGGTGTTTGATTCAGACCCAGATCCATAAAATCAAGCACCTCGCCATGTGGCCAGAAAAACCCAGTTTTTCCGGGTTTGGGCTGGGCCTCTTAGTTCCAGTGGAACTCTTAATGCTTCAGTATACCAAGATGTTTTGGACTATTCTATGCTTCCAGGTTTGTGGGAACAGTTTGAGGGAGGCCCGCTTCTGTTCCAGCATGACTGTGCCCCAGTGCACAAAGCAAGATCCTTGAAGACATGGTTAGGTGAGTTTGCTGTGGAAGAACTTGACTGGCCCACACAGAGCCCTGACCTCAACCCCATCAAACACCTTTGGGATAAACTAGAATGGAGATTGTGAGCCAGGCCTCCAGGTCCAACATCAGTGCCTGACCTCACATATGCTCTTCTGGATGAATGGTCAAAAATCCCCACAGACACACTCCATAATTTTGTGGAAAGTCTTCCCAGAAGAGTGGCAGCTGTTATAGCTGCAGAGGGGCGACCAACCCTGTACTGATGCCTATGGATTTAGACTGGGATGTCATATAAGTTCCTGTTGGTGTAATGGCCTGGTGTCCCAATACTTTTGTCCATATAATGTATGTATAATATA